TGAGAGAGTGAGTGAGTGAGTGAGTGAGTGTGTGTGTGTGTGTCTGTGTGTGTGTGTGTGTGTGTGTGTGTGTGTGTGTGTATATACATATATATATAAAATAAAACTTCTATTAACAATAAATAAATAATTCACAAATAAAAATATATAAAGAACACAGTTAAATACCTGTACAGAGTTGAGGCGAGGCGTCCCTTGTGTTTTCGGGCAGAACACAAGAGCACAGTTTGGTGGTCAGTTCGCTTTTATGAAGATGACTTCATCTGTTCCCGCCCCTTACAGCCAACACACATACAGTACTGGAGGAGTAACAGTAGAGAGTCATAGATTTCTGCGACCAAATGAAATACGTCTGCTTGATCAATTATACTGTTACCTTTTCATGCACATGTCATATATGTATAAAATCTAAGTATTTTCATTGGTCCTTAAGAAGGAAAATGTCATATTTTTACAAATCGGCACATAGTTTTTAATAAAGGATACACTGTATACAGAGTATGAATATACATTCATGGAGTGTTTAGGCTATATTTAGACAAAATGAAAGTGAAGTGACGTGTACACACACACACACACACACACAGACAGAGCAATGGGCAGCCATATTGCTGCGGCGCCTGGGGAGCAGTTGGGGGTTCGATGCCTTGCTCAAGGGTCTCACCTCAGTCGTGGTAATGAGGGTGGAAGAAAGCGCTGGTTAATCCCCCCACCGACAATTCCTGCCGGACCTGAGACTCAAACCCGCAACTTTCAGGTTACAAGTCATTGTGGACCATTAGGCCACGACTGCCCCAAAATGTCCCTTGAAAAGCAAATTTGTAATAAATACAATGACTGCAGAATAACTACTAAGTCACAGAAACCTATTCCCACGAATACTTGCTTTCATTGCGCCTAACATCCAAGATAGAACCAGACGCAGAGCTGGTTTTTTTTCCTGCACAGGAAGGTGTAACCAACACAACTGTAAAGCTCTCAAAACATGCTCAAAGACACATCTTCCCTGCATGCTATTCTGTCTCCTTCCCTCAGTTTAAGATGAACAATACCAGCTGAGGGGAAGAGGAAGAGTCTGAGGAGTGTGGTTTGTTTTCTCTGCGCTCTGCAGGTCCTGGGGTTCACAGATGCTCTGCAGGGGTCTAGGTGGACCTTCCTAACCGGTCTGATCCTGCTCTGCAGAACCTCTTTCAAAGACATGAAAAAAATATGACAGACCTCAAGCAGATGGTTTTATCTATTTTTTCCCCAAGTGTGTTTATTGTTACTGTTGTAGGCTTTGAGGAGCCAGTAGGATTGTATTGTTTGAGAAGATGCAGAATTGCCCTTCATTCCAATGCTGGCCACTAGTTTTCTGTAAAGTACTGTAAGAACTGTGTGTGTGAATAATGTTTTTGGAGACAATTTTAGTTCCTCACATAACTTTTCAGTGAACAGTTTAAAAAAAAAAAAATAAATAAATAAATAAAAATTTCCTTAGTGTGACGAACATTTAAAAAAAAATCTAAATGACCTTTTTCTACTAAAAAGAATCTTTTGTGCATTGGAAAGTTTCCATGGATGTTAAAGGATCTTCATGGAACCATCAATGAAAATAAAGAACCTTTATTTTTATGAGGGTTGTATGAATTACAATGCAATTTATAGTGAAACTCTGTTTTAAACTATTTTATCTGATACATGCGTGTTGGCTAAAACAATTATTTTGTTTAATTATATTTGGGTTTATATAATATGGCTGTATAACAATTATTATGGGCGTTTTAGGCAAATGACATTAATTTCTTTGCATTATTAAAAAAAGTTGCTGATTTGTAAAAACCAGGTTAAACGTTTATAAACTTTCTTAGTTGGCTGATTAATGTGCAAAATGTAATTATGGGCTTGAATGTTGAGGACATAAAGTGCCCTCTAGTGGCAGTTTGTGAAAGGACTGACCACCTCGAGCCTTTCCACCATCTTTTTGTGGGAAACATGATACATTTCTTCGCGATTCTTGGACGAATAAAACTTTTAAAAGAGCAACGTTTATTTAAAATAGAAATTGGAATTTATAGAACAATGCAAGCCTTTTCACTTTTGATTGATTTAATACTTGCTGAATAAAAGTAGTAATTTCTTTCCAAAAAACAAAAAACAAATAAAATTAATAAACTCTTAGTCATCCCAATCATTTGAATGATAATGTAATTTTGTGTTAAATGTCTGCATGCATGGAAGATTCTTTTTGTATATTATATTGTATTTTGTAGATTTTATTTACTGTTTTTAAACACAAAGTCTTGTATTTAGCTAACTTTAACACTTCTCTTACCCATTTTCTCCCTGCTTTAAGATTATGATTAGTAATTGTGTCCTAAAACAACAAAGTAAATTAATTCAAGAGGGAACCATTTTCGTTTGATATACTGTAAGCATTAACAGCACCAGTGCAATAAAGTGGATTCAGTTTCACACAAAACATATCTTCAGTAGCCATTTCATTTATTATTAAATCAGGGGCTTTAGATCTACATGTCTCTGTATGGAGATCAACTTCTATCCTATACATCAACTGTAACAACTCTTTCACACAGCTTAGTGCACCTAAAAGTATCCCTATTAGAGAATACAATTCCAACTATAAACTCTTCCACTCAAAAGACAGTCTTTCCAAACCTGTGCACAGTGTTGAAACTCATCTGAGACATTAAGGACTGTCTGTGTCCGTGTGTCTAGCCAGGAAAAGCATAAGACAACAGAACAGCCTGTTTCGGCCCTAGCTCTAACTTCTCTACTGACACCTTACTATCCACAGCTAGATTCTCTGTATCTGTGGAAGCACAGACTCGAGCCTCAGCGGGCAGGTCGCTATTGGTCAGTGTCATGGTAACAGAGTCATTTCCCCAGTTTAAGGCTACCAGGAAGCGTTCGCTCTGGTCCCAAAGGCGGAGAAATGCTAATGAAGTGGATGAACTGTAAAGGCTGACATATTCTCCATGCAGAAGCGATCGTTCTTTTCCTTTCAGATCACTGAGTGCTTTAAAGAAGTCACGCACTGCGGTACGTTCCTCCTGTACAGTCCGAGTCAAAAGAACAAAAGAAAGAAACAGAGTGTGTTTTTTAACATGTGCAATTACTAGAGTGCTATGTATAGCAACGTGAAAATGTGATCATGAAAATTTACCTTTGCTGTTGCATTGTCATCTCCTGCTTGACTTTCCAGGTCCCACATTGCTTCAGGTTTCTCCTGTATAGGTGAAATTATGTCAAGTTATCAACTTATCAAAATCTTAAATTTTCACTTTAATTTACAAGACATCATGCTCTACTCACCCCAGCCTTCAGTCCGACCTCATCTCCAGCACTGAACACAGGTGTGCCCGGGAGGGTGAACAGCAGCATTTGATAGAGCCTTACAGGCACTGCTGGAGAACCCAGAATCCGTCCACTCAGACACCAGCCCAGACTCATCTGCAGGTGATCGGAGTAGAGTAACTGTATCACCTGGGCCTGTCTTACACCGGGCTCCGCCGGATCAGGCAGTCCAGTCAGGAGCAGATCAACACTTGACCGATTCAGCAGATGAGAGACGTCATCCGCGGAGAGACCGGTGACTGATCCCATCAGAGCTCTGAAAGTCATGGAGAGAAAGTGATGGAGACATCCAAGTACCCTGAAATCAAGTTCTGTCTGTCTACCATTTGTTTTCACTAGCTATGATCAGCACCCAAATCTGGCCACCAGGTGTCTCTGTTCTACTAAACAAATGTCCTCCTTACAGATTCCAATAACTACCAAACTTCAAAAACTACCACCACATACCTTTTTTTGGTCCCATCGGTTTGGTTGAATATGTCTTGAACAGACGGCCAGGCTTCTGTGTATGCGATGTCGTTCAGATGAGATAAGAAGATGCCGTCCACCCCCTTATTCAGCCAGTATACGCAAGCTTCCTATAATAAAAACAGAGAATGGAACAAATAAATCTGTTTATATGGCTAAGCATTGATTAATAAAATATTGTTATATTAATTATATTACTCATAATAGTAAAACAAACTTTCAACGTCCATTTACACTATAGTTAAAAAATGTGAAGTTAGTAAGAATCATTTAAATAATCTCTAAACAAAGTTGTAATTATTTGATCAAAAGTAAAGTAAAAACAGCAACCTAGTAAAATAATATTACAACTTAAAATAGCTGTTTTCTATTTAAATATATTTAAAAATGTAATTTATTCCTGTTATGGCAAAGCTGAATTTTCAGCAGGCATTACTTCAGTCTTCAGTGTCACATGATCCTTCAGAAATCATTCTAATATGCTGATTTAGTGCTCAAGAAACATTTCTCATAATCATTAATATTGAAAATGTTTGTAAGACACAAAAGGAAACTATGATACACTTTCCTGATGATTTTTTTTTTTTTTTTTACAATTTAGAAGTCTTTACTGACACTTTTGATAAATGTAATGTTTCCTTGCTGAATGCGAGTAATTTCTTAAAAAAAAAAAAAAATCTAATATCAGGAGATATGTTTTTTCTTACTTGGGCCCCTTTATAAATCTCTAACTCTTTTTGTCTTTTCTCTCACTAACTGACCGTCAATATATCAGCACTTACTTTGAGTCGCTCAGCAACAGAAGCAGCATTGTTGAACCAGACTGAAACTCCCTCATAATTGGGTGTTAGATCCAGCACTACGGAGATTCCTGAGAGGGAGACAGGAAAACAAGTAGAAAGAAGGGAAAAGGCAGAGGGGAGAGTCAACAAACCAGAAGGCTTTTAAATTATCTTTCTACAGTTTATCTTTCCTGACAAAAACAAAAGGCTAATTTTGTCTT